GAAATTATCAGGTATGGGGAAAATGTAGTTAAGAGTTATTGCATCAGATTGGTTAATACAGAATGCTGAGTTTACCAAGGGATGAAATTGGGGCAAACTGAGAACAGCCTTTTTTTTGTAAAAACTAAAGAAAGATGGATCACAGATCAATAAATTATGACTAAGTCTCCAATTCTCCTGGCCAAGAAAACAAAGACTAAACGATACTCCTTTAAAATTCCAGTACAGAAGTGATTTCGTCCACAAGTTTTAAAGGGGGCAAGGCAGATTCAACAAGCCTTTTCGCCCTTTTTTTTTTTTTTTTAAGTATCGAGGCCTCATAAAGAAGTAGTTAGTAATTGTTCTATTCAATATATTCATAAACGTATTGTGTTATCTATTGAAAAGATAAAAGCATGAGTTATTTTAAAAATCATTCGTATAGTGCTATAAATGTGCAGAGTGCTACATAAACATAAAGTGAGACATGTTCCCTGTCCCAAAGATCTGAGCCTAAAGACAAATACACACAGCATGATACAGAACAACAGTGCTGGGAAAGCAGAGTGAGGAGACCAAGGAAGATGGAATCCTGGAAGAAAGGAGTTTTAAAGGCAAGAGAGGGGACTTAGTGGCCAGTTAACAGGAAACTGGTTCAGGCATAAAGGCCATTGGAATAAAAGCTGTGCAGCCAAGATGGCAATGAAAACAAGAGATGGGTAGAGCAAGGTGATAAGACAAAGCAGAGAGAGAGAGAGAGAGAGAGAGAAAGGAGGAATTGGGGGAAAATCTATGCCGGGTTGAAATACTCTAGAGTCTTGAAGATGATGAGAGGAAACTTAAATTTGATGCAGTAGAAGACAGGAAATCAATGAAAAATGTGGGAGACATGCGGTCAGTGTGGCAGAAGAGGAAGTTATGGATAGCTTGGAAAGCAGAGGTAACAATAGGAGAGGCCAGAAAGGAGAAAGTTGAAGTTATCAAAGGGAGAAATAACCAAGCATACATATACAGTTTTAGCAGTGAGGATAGTGAGAAAAGGGTGGGTTTTGGTAGATATTAAAGAGGAAGAAGCTGGAAGACTTAGGGTATGTCTATACTTACCCGCTGGTTCGGCGGCAAGCAATCGAACTTCTGGGTTCGATTTATCGCATCTTGTCTAGACACGATAAATCGAACCCAGAAGTGCTCGCCGTCGACTCCAGTACTCCTGCTCAGCGAGAGGAGTACGCGGAGTCGACGGGGGAGCCTGCCTGCCGCGTTTGGACCGCGGTAAGTTCGAACTAAGGTACGTCGACTTCAGCTACGTTATTCACGTAGCTGAAAGTTGCGTATCTTAATTCGAATGGGGGGGTTAGTGTAGACCAGCCCTTATTGTCTGAAGATGGGAGTAGGGGAGAAGAGAAAAAAAAAGGTAAAGATTACACTGAGATTTTGAGTCAGGCAGATGAAAAGCAGTAGACATCAATAGTGATAGAGAAAAGACAGGAAGGAGAGGAATAATGAAGGCAAGCAGTTAGATTCTCTGCTACACCCAATTTCCATTGGATGCACCTGAAGTAGGGAGTCATGAAAGAGATCTGTGCTGCTCCCCAATCATGGGTCTAGTACTATGCCATTCCCATCCCTGGCATATTTTAACACAGATTCAGGGTGGCCCTAATTTATACTGTCTGGCTATAGTCCCCAGGGGCTGATATGCCCCCTAGGAATTTCCAGAGTAGTGATTCTCCAGGCTTATCTTCAACCAAACCACTATATCAAGTTCCTGGAGGGACTGGCATAGAACCAGCTATACTAGTTCTAAGGATTCCCCGACACCAGGCAGAATTTCCAATAAATTGGTTCTGCTGGCTTTACAGTCCCTTTGTACTGGTGGGACCAGCAAAAAAGGGACCAGATGAAAGAAGGGAATCTGGTCTCATATATAAATTTTTTTAAGTGTTGATTTCGAGATGACAGTAGGACCTCCAACAGGAGACAGATGAGAGATGTTCTGGAGGTGTAGAAGGTAGGGAAATACATATGGTAACCTCACACAAAGATGTTGTAGTTGAAAATAGGTGAGTTAAAAAAGGTTGAAAAGGTTAAAGTACGCTGAAACAAGAGGGAATTCTCACTTCATCAGCTAGGGAGCAGGTATTGTTTCCCCAAGCCAGCGTGAGGAGGGAGTTTCTCTAGCAGAGGAGGGAGAGCATCCCATAATTTAATCTCTGGTTGAAACCCTGGGAATGGATGTTAGCAGAAGAGAGTCCATTTAGAAAAAAGAGGGGAACCAAGGATGGAAGTCTGTGGTCCTTCAACAGATTGACGGAAATGCTAAGGGACAATAAAGAATTAGAGTTAGATGTTGAAACTGTCAGTACATCTGTAGTGGTACTAATAGCGCCTCTTCTGGGACTTTCTGTGCCTTTGTGGACTCTCCCACAGAGCACCTGGGAGCACAAAGAAACAAATTGGGAAGCCTTGGCTTATTGCTTTACTCCCTCCACAGGTTCCAGGTCTCATGAAGAGGTTGCCAGGTCCAAGCATGTACTGGGATGCAAATCATACCAAAGAGCAAAGGCAGCACCTACTTCTGGGTACATCAGTTACCCTGGAGGAAGATGGAGATGGAATAGAGCAGGTGCTTGTTGCTGCTGGAGCGAGCAGAGCGGGATGCATTTCACTAAAGGCAACAAGGGCAGGACTATCCCTGTGTCTGTACACCACACTGCCTGAGATGCCACTCTGCAGCATCAGGGGAGTCATGTTAGACTGGCTCACAGGGCTCGGGCTGCAGAGCTGTTTCATTGCTGTGTAGACTTCTGGGTCCAGGGTGCAGCCCAGGCTCTGGGACACTCCTACCTTGCAGGATCCTAGAGCCCGGGCTCCAGCCTGAGCCCAGAAGTCTACACTGCAATTAAATAGCCCCTTAGCCCAAGTCAGCTGGCACAGGCCAGCCGGGGTGTGTGTGTGTGGGTTTCTTTGCTGTGTAGACATAGCCTGAGAGATAAAGCCCCCGGTGAGGAGATGGCTTAGCAGGGAGGGCCAACTTCTCTTGCATTCAGACAGGTTCTGGGCTGGTGAGTGTTTCCCCCACATTATCTCCTCTCTTCATTAATTCTTTGGAGTCTCAGCCTTCACATAGCAGAGACAGAAGTGTATATTGTGCCTGACTGTTGATGCTTGGCAGCATGGCCACTTCCTGGCTTTGGAAGATGTCAGCCATGCTTACTCCTTCTAGCAGTTCACAGTTGCAAAGCATGCAAGATGTTAGTCCCTCAAAGTGTTAAAGCCAAAGGAAGGCCACAGAGAAGGAAGAACAGATTAATCGTCAGTGGAGGGAAAAAAATGAATGGCTTTGGCTGCTAGCCTCTCTTACAGCCTAAAGACTGTAATGAAACCCTGTCATTAATCATCTTTTAAACAGCTGCTTACTTTATATCAATCAGTGTAATTCATTCTGGTTACTTACGGACACTCATTCTTAAGCCACACTAAATCAGAATCACCAATAGTGTGAATGTACAAGATCTATTTTGCTGGAGAAGCGTTAAAGGCAAAGGCCGCAAATCAATGGCACATTTCAATACAAAACCAATTGAAATTTTAATGTAGAAGTAATACGACACTTATTTAAGTGGTCAAGAATTCTGTATTTGAAGGACACCGCCCTCCCCAAGGAATACACCCTTTTTTCCCCATTTCTCGATTAAGTTAATTTGAACTATGTCAGCACTACAAGCTTTCCACATGCGTTTAGGACCAGACGATAAGAGCAGCCCAAAGATGAGTAATGTATAGTAAAATCAATAAACCTTATTACTAGCCACTAAGGGGGCTGATTTTATGTCCATAAAAGTAAAACAATTATAGCAACATTAATGGCAGATTCATCAAAGTAATATAACAAATTCAAGTATGCTTGTCTGTTGGGAATCTTTAATCCACCCTTGTGCATTTAGTATCCACTAAGCAAGAAAAATGGTACCCACTTCATATACAAGCTCTGACCTCTGGCAGTGCAAGTTGTCATCAGAATAAAGAATTGAGAGTTCAAACACCCCTATATTTGCTGATGAATGTATCAGTGGTATGCAATCAAGGATAAAGTTGACACCCAAAATAACCTGGCTAACCATCTGTTTCTTTCATGCATTAATTAGTGTCCTTTTATTATAATCTTGTTCGCTACTTACTGAGGTGGAACAAAACTATCGGACAATCATAGAATCATGGAAATGGAAGGGATCTTGAAAGGTCATCTAGTCCAATCCCCTGAATTCATGGCAGGACTAAGTATTATCTAGACCATTCCTGACAGCTGTTTGTCTAATCTGCTCTTAAAAATCTCCAGTGATGGAGATTCCACAACCTCCCTAGGCAATTTATTCCAGTGCTTAACCTCTCTGTCAGGAAGTTTTTCCTAATGTCCAACCTAAACCTCCGTTGCTGCAATTTAAGCCCATTGCTTCTTGTTAATGCAATAACATGTACAACATGTTCTTGGGTAGTATGGGTAGGAACATTTAAAACAAAGGTGGGCTAGTTCTGTCCACAGGTACACACAATCAACTCCACACAGTGGGGCTGCACAGGTTAAATCCAAAGCAAAGTTTGGCTAGTGTTTCTAGTGCACACAGGCAGTCATTTCTCAGCTGAAGGTATTAGTGGCTTAAGTATCAGAAAGATCACTCAGTGGTACTAGGGACCTGATCCAAAGCCTACTGAAGTCAATGGAAAGACCTCCTTTAACTGCAGTTTTGGCTCAGGACCTATGTGCCCAAAAGGAAGAAGGGGTAAGGTGAAAATGGAACAGGTTGGGCATGGAGGGTGTGGTTTCATGCTTCACCTTATACAAGGATAGCATAGCTGCCAAACTGGTGAGTACTGCCTGGGAACCAAGCCAAAAGTCCTTCTGGGGAAACTGGCAGCTGTATAGTGCCTCCAGAGTCTGTCAAACATACCTATTGGTAACTAGGACACAATCTCTCTCTAAGCTGGGCAGAGGAAAGCAAGGTGAGACAGACGCCAAAAAGTACAAAAACAACTTTTTTTTTTATTCTGATTGCCAAATTATTTAAGGCAGGTATAAAAATGAAAGCATTCAATATACATTTTACATAAAATAAACTAGATTACAGCATAAAACAAGTAACCAGGCAATGGCATTAAAGTCTCTCTTCTAAAACTGGATAATTGTAAACATTAAAAAAAAGACTGCAGGACTATTCAAGTAATAGAACAATCACAGATGTCTTCTGGTATGCAGGCTATTGGGTTATTTGCCATTCAAGATTATCAAAAAAAGACATTTCATTATTCACAGATACTCATTATTTCCCCATTTAAAATCTATACATTATGTACAACACAGTTTTTGTGGTACTGGCAACCCCATGCCTTCCAAATGTATATTTTTCACAATACACAATTACAATGAAACAGTGAGTACAGTAACATTTTACACTGATGCATCTTAACAGGAGCCACCAAATAGACATCTAAATTGTACCAAAGTGTCATCATCACAGTTAGCCTCTCTGAGGGCTTGTGGGCAATATTAGAAGGGTATGCAAGGATCAGGCACACTGATACATAATATTATTTATTTACAATTAAAAAGCAAAAAGAAAAGAAAAACGGCCTTTTGTGGTTAACATTTTTCTAAACAAGACAAATACATTTTTCCTTTATTGTGTGGTTTGCAACTTAGCAGCAGACCCTGTGTGCGAGCCTGGTTACCGATACAAAAAAAGTAAAGAATATATATATATTTATATATATATATACGCGCATATATATATATATATAATAAAAAAAACAGAAGTCTAATTACAGCAACATTTGTTACTCTGTGATAAAATCTGCAATTTACAAAAATGAAATGACTGGTTTTTGCCTGCCATTAAGGCATTTCAAAATAACACCATGGAACTGATGTCTGTAATAAAGCGCTTCCTCATGTGATCCAGTCACATGACAATGTACATTTCCAAACTCCTCATTCTCTAAAAAAAAAAGAGGTTTTAGTATGATATCCTTTTCCATCATTTAACTCTGAACTCTTGAAATGCACAACAACTATGAAACTAACCACATCTAGTTAGTATTGCCAACCCCAGCCTCCTGCTCCAAATCATGAGATTTTAATAAATTGAGAGGGGGAGAGGAATAGTGTGTCTCTTCTAGTTTCTGAACCTTTAGGGTGCACTCGGGTCATATGCTCAGGCATTTCTCTGCAACACTGAGTGCTAAAAACTTGCTTTTTATTCAAATGAAAGCTGAGATTCTCATGTAATCACTTGCCTCTGGGGGTCTGCGACTTTAAGAAAAACAGCATATATCACGGGACTTGTGATAAAATCATGGAAGTTGTTAATTTTACTGCATAAGATTTATCCTGGAGGTGTTGGTGGAGACTCCACTGTTAAGGCAGAGTTGAGCTTTTCACTTAAGACAGAATTTTTATTATATATAAGGTTTTCATTTCCTTTAGAGGTTGAAAAGTAAATTCTATTTAAAAGCAGGTAAATAGTTTAAAGGCAAATACATTTGATTCCTAGGTAACTTTAAAATAATATAATCTTTAATGCACCTTCTAAAAATATTTTATTTCCAATAAAAGTATCTGCAAATCAGGAAGCCAGATATACTTGTACTTATACATAAGAGCAGAAGTTTACTCAACTTTAGATGGATCTACTCCAAAATTAATCCCTTACTTGCCTTTTATGAAAACATTTTGAATCCTAATTATATACTTCATAATAGATTGTTTTACTTTAATAGTACCAAGAGGTAAAGGATAGTCTCTGAAAATCTCAGACGACAGGCAGTCTATTTCATTGATTAATTATCTACATTATGATTATAGTATGAGCGTCAAAGACAAGTGTCTTGTTAGGAAGAATAGAGCTACAATTAACTAAAAAAACCCTATAACCCCTCCCCTCTCAATAAAAGCTGCTGTCTATAGGGATGCAGACCTCTAGTCTTAGAAACCTATAATTTGCTTCCTCCCTCCCTATTAAGATGTCTATGTAAGTATAATTTAAGGTTTACAAGATATTTACCTTCTTTGTGCAGGAAACATACCAGATGCAGATGCCTGAGCAGCCACCTGCTGAGTGGCAACAAGGGCAGCAGAGGTCAACCCTGAAGGAAAGAAGAAACAAAAGACTGTGGATATACTTCTGGATTTTATGGTGTTCAGAGAGACAAGTATAGTCGTCAGTGCAAAAACCATAAATAGCAGCCAATCACTTTTTGCAGGATGCATATATCAAATAGTTCAGGCAAGAGAGGTAAGACAATTTGCCTGGTCTGATCAATGTGCCTTAATAGAATGTACTGAATTCTCCTTAATAGGCATTTTACAAGAAAATATGGCATTCTACCTTACTGTGTTTCTTTCCAAGCACTATACTGTGCTAAACGGTTTGTATGAATTCCTGAATCCGAAGCTCAGTCGAAATAATGGGTACCAGGAAACAACAAGAATCAAAAGTCACAGTGAATTACAGAAACGAATACTAGCTGCTTGGAATACAATACTTCCATAGTAACTTATTTTTAAATTTCTCCCACTGAATGAGCATAATGCATCCCATAAGGCGTATGGAATCACTGAATCAAATTTAGAAATATTTAAGACTTTTGCATAGGAAAATGACTCTAAGGCACTGAGAGAACACAATGAATTAATGTCATTTTAGCTACAAACTGTACTCATGTGTACTTCACTGCAGGAGGAAATCTTTTAATTCTGCTAGAACAGTGTCAGAAAAGGAAGAAAAAGTGGTGTAAATCAAGGGGAAATTAATAATCTTTCATGCATCTCTTCTTGTGGTTCTTTTTCCTTGACTGCAACAATATGTGCTGTATTCACCTAAATAAAAACAGATCATGTGCTATTTGAGAAGCTGTAGCTGTGACAATCTCAAGGTTGACTGCAGGGTCTCTGCTGTACATAAAATTGGTTCAAAATTAAAAGCTTTTCTCTTTGCCATGCTCTCTCCATTGTTTACACAAGACTAATTGTGTAAAAAGGTTTATTTTTTTACCTCTTTCTAATCAGTTACTGTCAGTTTTTATTATGGTTGAAAATACTCATTTGAATGATATCCTAGCTGACAAGTAAAAATTTAATAATTTACTGGCAATCAGTGGTGAGTTCTAAAACAGTATTACTCAAGCATGAAGCTGTAGTTATAGTGTAATTTGGTGTTACCAGCTTAGTCCTTGCTGTGTGTTTTCAAGCTTTCTCCCTAGATATAAACTATTTTTTCTGGTTTCCGTAAAACACGGGTTTCTATTAAAATAGCTTCACATCATACTTGTAACATCAATTAAACAACTTTAAAAGACATGTAGATCCTACAGACAGAAGCCACAGCTCACCTTGAAATGGGTCATATTGCCCAGGTATAAGTGGGTAGCCCATTCCAACGTGTGTGTGGTGGTGTGTATGAAGGTGCCGCTGGCTAAAGGGGGAGTGGCGATCTCGCTCCCTCTCTGCTTCCCGCTCACGCTCAGCTGTAGATTTTTCCACAGGCTGACAATAAAAAGGTAAAAGAAATTGTATATAATATTTTTTAAATTGAGAATATCACAACCAATACACTGACTCTGTGTATTTAGCAATGGACATTTAAACACAAACTATGAGACTGATTCTCCAGTACACTGGAGTGGATTTGCCTTGCTCCCCAGAATACAAAGCTGCCCTAAAGCTGGTGTAGCCATATTCTCAGGATAAAGGGATCCTCAGGCATCACATAGCAGCCACAAACCACCTCTTCTCCCACTAAATCTGCAGGGGGGGATGGCCTAGGCTCCCTTATGCCAGGCTGGTTCCCGGCTGCTCTAACAGCCTATTTGAGCTGGTGGCAGCTGGTGTAAATCAGTCCTTGGACTTCTTTCATTTGCACTGGGAACTGAACCAACTCTCAGGATCAGAGAGCTATTTCAAAACTATCTTTAGGGTCAGCAACTTGCTTTCATCAATTAAAACTTTTACCCTCTTATCTGAAGGCAAAGTAACACTGTTTACTCTGACATGGAAGTCTCCAAAACAGGATTTTAGTAATTTGCTATTCAGAAGATAACAGCTCTGCAGCAAATATATTGAAGGGATATTATCAAATCCCATAGTTCAACTTTTTAATCTCATTATCTGTTTTCAAACAGGAGCTTCTTGGTAAACTGTAATAAAGCATACCATGTACCAAGAGCTATCTATGAATCTGGATTTCCATATGAATCTACTACTTCTATTAGAAAGTATATTAGCAAGAAACCTGTTATACTTGTCACTTCCAGTATATGCCAGGGAAGCACCCTGATTTTAAATTACTTTTGATTTAAATGCTGATATAAAAAACATCTTGAATTCATAGCTTGACTATGCACATTTTTGGATGATGTTCCCTGCCCTTTCTCTACCCAACCCAAATGTATTGCTGTTCAAGAACAACAGATAAGCCTTACGGCAGGGGACTTGCTGCGGTACTGGTTGGCATGCTGCTGGAGCAAATCCAGTGCTTTAGATTCAGTGGTTGATTTTGCGTTGATGCTAGGGCTGGTATTGACTTTCTCCGCCTCTTCTCTCCCTGACATCTTCCCATAAACAGGATAATGAAATCCTGGCGAGAGATAGGCCCCTGCAGATAAACAATAAATGCCACATCAAGTTACTGTTTTTACATTTGGTTATACCAATGTAGGGTGGAGAGATTCCTATACAGTGGATTAAATCAAAAATGGATCATGTGACTATAAAATTGTATCTTTGTTCTTCCATTTTTTCAGCTAATTCACCCTGATGAATGGAGGTTATAAAGAGGGTTGAGCTTACAGACATTTCAGACATTTATGGGTCCTCTTAAGTGAAAGGAATAGTAACTATAATGGTTCTGACAGTAAGTGCTTAGAATATTTTTATAGGCAATAAACTATCTGTCAGTCTAACAGCAACAGCAGCCTGTCAGGGGTTGTGGAAACTGTAACTGGGAACTCTGACAGTTCATAAAAGGAACATCTTGTATTAAATCAGTTTAATCTGCAGAACTTTCCCTAGCATAAGAACAAGCAAAACAAATGTCATTCGTGAAGCTGCTAACAGCCAATATTAAAATGTAGGTTTTACTGCACTGTTAGTGTGTAAATCTTTACTAGTGTACAATGCCAGTTACAGAACACGTACCAGGATAGCTGTGCATTAGAACAGGAGAGACTGCACGGTATGCAGGATGGTTGGGATCATACATCTGTGGGTAAGGATAAGCGTGCAAGTACTGTATATATGACTGATGCTGACTCATTGGTGAGGAAACGGCCACTCTAGCACCCCGAGAGTCCTTCCAATTTACAGGAGTCTTTCGATCATCGTTTTTGATCTTGCTCTCCTCCAATGACTGGGAATCAGAACGCTTGACCTCTTTCGGTTCCTCTTTAATGCTTGTTAATGAGACAGGGAGGTTGGATATGGAACCTTCCTTATTAGGTGTTTTTCTAGGGCTGTCTTCTTTTAGTTTTTTCTCCCGATCAAGTTCTTCTGATTTTTGCTGATCAAGGTATTTGGGCTGGTAGACATAATGATGCCATGTTCTTGAATCTGCATCCTGATATGAGGGAGAAATACATTTTGTTCTAAATGCACATTGTGAAACAAGATAGTTATTGATATTTGTCATACTTCTGTAGATGTCTTTTTTTATAGAAATGTTAACAACACACCCAGATTATGTATATTATAGGACAGACATGCTTCTTATAGGTTCAGTATACTTTTAAGCTCAAACTCCAGCCAACATTACAATGTAATAGCAATAAACGTCTATCATAATCTGATTGAATGATTTCATTTTATATCCTTTCCCATGCCTTTAACTAGTTTAATCACAAATTACATACATATTAATTTTAACACCTATGTGATCATACTATACATGTATTTTGATTAATGGCCATAGAGAGATTTTCCTATCTGTGAACTACAACATTGCTAATGCTACGTCAAAGGACTTCAATAACCTGCAACGATGAACCTGAAAAATGGATCTTGCTGGAAAGGTGCTTACCTTGGCCTTGATCCTGCCAACATTTGTATACTTGAGTAACTCTATGCATTACAGTCCCACTCAACTCAGTGGGACTCTTCACATGGATAAAGTTATAAAATCACTGTTCACAGGATTGAGGTCAGGGTTTGAGAAATGTGTGTAGAATATGTCTAACTATTATAAAACAGTTTATAAACATGTTAAAGAGTGGGTATGTGGTGTCTTTACAGGGTTACATAAAACAGCACTATCTTTACTGAATAACAAAAGAACATTATTTTTTTATGAGATATACAAGGGCTAATTACTATTATTTTACTTTAATGGTCAATGTTCACAGCATAAGAAATAGTAATAGGTAAACTGGATTAGCTTTGGTTCAGATACTCATCATTGTCCATAGAAATCTTCTCCTATCCAGACTTGAACTATCCCACTTTCCTTCTCATTCCATGACCCTCAGCCTTACTTTGAAAGATGGCTTATTAAGATGAAATCTGGAATGTGTCAAATGCCAGAGCATGAGGATATTCAGTGTGGGAGCACTGGATCACAGCAAAGAAACAGTAACATGTCTTGGCAGGGGTATGGATTGGAAGGCTGTCTAAGATGTGGGAAGACCAGGAGGAGCCAGAGTGGTAAAACCATCGTTGACTTCAGTGGGGCCAGGATTTTACCCATTGTGTGGGCCCACAGAGGTCAGGAGCTTACTGAGGACAGATAGGGAAGGATGTCCCCTTAACAATTTTGAAAAGGTCATGCTGGATTAGGATAAAGAGTTGAGCATCAAAGAATCTGCTCGCCCTTCTTTAGTAAATGTCAGATGTCATTAAAAAACAAAACAAAACCAAAAAAACACCAAGCCATTTTTCAAATCTACTTTGCACTTCATTCATAGTGAAAGGTGCTATTTCTTGAAATTTCACTCTGCTGCACTAAGCAGAATGACTGAAATTTACATTTAAGAGTTTTAATTTTACTTGTTTCTATATGAAAACATGAATTCTGATAATTAAGATTAAAAAATTTCTAATTAATTTCTTAAACCTGGATTCTGTCACCTCTACTCATGCTCGGTTTCCCCTCTTTCAAAAGCCCCACTGAAAGCAATAGATCTACTCAAGGAATAAGGTACTACTCAACGTCAGAAAGGGTGGCAGAGTTTGACCCTTTAGGTAAGATAGAAAAATACAACAAAATCGTGTCAGTAAAACCTTAAGAATAATTCAAGATTATCCGTGTTCAAGTTCCAGTGGCCTCACCTGTTTAAATCTTGTGGTAGGATCTACTCCTGTCTGTTTCATTGAGTCCATAACAGATTTCATTTCCACAGCCTCCTTTATAAGCTGATGGTTTTCCATTTGTTTGGCTTTGAAACTATCAGACTGAAGCTGCTGCTGGTGATTGGAAAGAATCTGTGATTTGCTTGTCTCTTCAGCTTTGCTGGGGACTGATGACCCTATTTTAGTGTTATTTTTGCTTGTCTCTGGAACTGAAGGAGCCTTTGAGATAGTAGCAGAGGGGATATTTTTCTGCTTGTTGTCATCCTTTCCTAGTTCCTTCAGTGAAGGTTCGCTCTTCCTTTCACAGTCTCTCCCAGTTTGTGCCATTTTCTGCTCTGCCAGTCTCTGGTCCTCATAATATTTTTCATACTGCTGCCTATAGGCAGGGTTAGAGGCCATTAAGGACTTTTGGTCCATGTAAAGCCCATAGGCATACTGTCCATAATAAAGTGACTGGGCAAGTGCAGGATGTCTCTGAGTTATTACTGACTGATGCTGAGGCTGTAAATTAGTGGAATTAGTATCATTTTTCTTGGAATCTGATGCTTCTGTCTTGTCTTTCTTTTCAGCCTCTTCCTCGGCCTCCTTTTTGATCTTCAGTCCCTGTGAGGTACTGCTGTTCCCAGCTGCAGGGGTGCTGACTTGTCCAGAGTGCATGTAACTTGGAGAATAATAAGGATCGTAGCCATGGTAATAGGGAGAATGGGACTCTTTTACTTGTGATGATTGTGCTGTGATTGAAGAATGTCCTTTTACAACACTTTCCTTATTAGAAATAATATCTGAAGGAGAGCTGGCCTTTGACCTCATGTCCTCTGACCTGCTGTCAGAACCACCATCATCTGCAGCATCAGAAATATCAGAGTAAGCTGGGCTGTTGGTTTTAGCAGCTGCACTATCTGCACCATTTTGTGTCAACACATGCAGTGGCACCAAAGAAGATTGTCCATTCACCAAAGTGCTGCATTCCATTCTGGAGGCACTCCCTATAGAAGGGCTGGGTGCATTGTCTGTGAAAGTGTAAACCTTATCCGCTTCAGCTTTAATACTTGCCATCCTGCTCTCTTGAGACTCTGACAGTCCATTAGCTAACACTTCATTCTTGTTGAGATGGTCCTTTAAAAAATGTCCAGATAAATCTTTCCCAGACCCTTTTGAATCCTCTAGCTTTCCCAGCTTAGAATCCATTTTAGGACTTCCAGTCTCTTTGCTTTCTTTGTCCTTCAGCTTTCTCTTCTCCTTTTTCTTTTTGTCTTTGAGTGATGTGAGAGCTGGGTTTACAGTGCTTGGCTCTCCCATAATTGTGGGCTTTGGTTGAATAGGTTTTAACGGAGGGCTCTTTGGTGTTGCCTGAACAACAGTGGTTGTGAGTGAGGGCAATCCTGGTATTGTCCCTGTAGTGGTGGTTGTAAAGGCTGTAGTGGGTATAGCTATTAATTGGGGAGGAGTAGGAGCTGGAGCTGGGGCAATGGGCCTGGCTGTTTTAAGTTTTGACAGATTTTTATCCACTTTGCAAGTATTGGCTTTTTTGCCCTTGTCTTTATCTCCCACATTTTTCTTGTCTACTAGTCCTTCAGCTTCCAGTTTGGGCATTTCAGAGGCCAAACTGCCATCTGCTACTGAACAATTGTCCAGCGTGGCTGCCATATTAGAAATTACAGGAAGGCTGTTCAATTCACTATTTGGGCCCTTCTTTTTACCAGAATTCTTGCCAGTTTTAGAACTGATGATTGAAGTTGGGCCATTATTGGTCAACTCCCTTTTCCCCTTGGGTGTCCCAGGGGTATTAAGAGGGCAAGGAGATGTTGGTGCTTTTAGCTGATCAAAACTTGATATACTTGTGCTTGGCTCACTGCATTCAAGTGCCACATTACTTAATGCTTCCTCACAGTCTGAAATTTTATCTTCACTGTCAGGCTCAAACTCCAGTTTGTTTTCTGGATCTAAATGTGCATGAGCCTGGTGGTAACGCAGTCCATTAATGTGCTTGTACTTTTTGTTGCAATTGGGGTGAGGGCAATCAATCAATACTGGAGAAGAGCAGCCTTGGTCCAAAAAAGTAGTCTCAAGTTTCCCCTGTGGGGTGGTTGGAGTGCTTCTAGAATTGGTGCGAATGCGCTTTCCAGATTTATTGTCCTCTGAACTGGAGTTCAAGTCTAGCTCCATTGGAGGCTTATTTTTCCTCTTATTCGTGGATGAGGGGCTGGCTTTGACATCGTCAACTGCACAATTTGGAGGTGTCCTGCGTCCACTTGAATTAAGGCTGCCTCGCCTCCCCTTCCCATTGGCACCACCCCTGTTCTTGTTCTGCAGTCCTCTTGACTCTGTAAAGCTAACATCATTTCCAGGTGCAGCTGCAGCAGACCTTGCTCGCTTTCCTCTCCCCCGACCTCCTCGCATTTCCAGGTCACTTGTTGGCGATTCACAAAACCTAAGTTAAGAAGAGCAGATGTCAGAACAGAGACTAAAACATCACCACCAGACACCATCAGCTATTTCAACCATTAACTGATATTTCAAATATCAGAATGACACGGCTTCATGTAACAGAATCTGCAATGCTGTTAGAGGAAAGGTGCTCTTTCAAATAGGAACGTCATGAAAGAAAAAAACATTTGCTTCAGGAATATTACTGACAAAGAGAAAAAAAGTATTTCTTAGTATCCAAGAAAATATTTTAAAATAAACTCAATTTCAGTTTAATTTCAGACATTTTTTCAGTAACATAACAATTAGGAAATACAAATTGCCAGCTCAACATCTGCATTTTGCAGTGTGTAAGAGAATTACTCATTTCTCTTCTGAATGGTTTCATTTATATACAGTTGTTCTTTATTAATCTCTGTACAGTTTCTTGCCAAAGATTTTGGGGGGGAAGGGGGGGAGGAGGGAAAAGAGTAGAGAAAAAACAGTCCCAGAATGACTGCCTACCTGGGAGGGGCCCAATCATGCTTTGTACAATCCAGCAGGGTCCCGACATAAGTCTTGTTCCGCCATGTAACATTTACCACTAGGACACCTGTAGGAGGAAGAGAAACAAAATATTATCACAGTTACAACAACTTTAAAAAAAAAAAAAACGAAACAGAGCCCCATTCTTATTTGCTTTCAAAAGCTGTGGTCTACACTCTTCCTCTTTTCTGGTTTCAGTGACCTCAAGTTAAAACCCACAGGAAAGAGTGTGTGTGTGCGTGTGTGATCAAGATACAGCTGACAGAAGGAAATGGTTTTTGCCATGTCCTGCTGTAAAACGGCAACATTCACCTCTTAATTTTGCTATTACTGCACATAATTGCTTTCATTTGGCAGGCAGCCAGCATAAACTGAGCACCAGTTACCAGTGTTTAAATCAGTAGGTGACTCAGAAGAATGTGCTTTGTTTTCAACAATACTATAGTAGTGATATTATTTATTTGAAATGACCAATATCCAAATCACCACACACACAAGTTTTGTTAGATAAGGATATCTACAAACCCTCCATATTATTTGCATTCTCTTTCTCGTTGTGAGCCTTCCATTAACTTGGCCTCCAACCTAAATTGAGGCATTTAGGAAGACAAATAATAATAATAAAAAAACCCAATGTGCTGTTTCAATGTTAATGTCTTCATCGTTTAAAGCTTTGCTTTAAAAATACTTCTGTTAACATTTAAATAAATCCGCACAATAAATGCAGGCTTAAAATTTTGTTTTATCTGAAAAATCAATGTATTATTAAGTATGCACTGTTGGGGCTTCTTTTAAAAAAAATTAATGGAGGGTGTCATTCAAACCCATTCAGATTTCTCTCAACACTTTTTCACAGAGAGACAATTTATAATCATGTTTGTGGACTAGTCAACATAATTACCCTTTAATTCATTAGATACTGTAGATAAACATAAGGTAATATTCTGAATCAGTTATCATTTCTCTTTAGAATGCATGCTGAAAAGATTAATTTCACCTAGGCAGAAGAAGAGGCATGGTGCAAAATGTTAGCAGATTCACAGAAATTAATTCTAAAGAACTAATATTTTAACTAAAACTACACACACAAATCTTATGGTTTGTATTTCTCTACACTCTCCTTGTTCTAGCTAGCTCTAGCTTTCCTACAATGGAAAGAATAATGGCACTGTGCCAAATACGTTTCTAGCCTGTCTGCTTGCTTTGTGTTACCAGAGTGATTTCTAATTTTACACTAAAACTATCCCACTCTGAAGCACCAATGTAAAGTAAACATGTAACCTCCAGCTTATTTCCTTAGGGCCCTTTTAACAGCAGGAAAATATTTGAAGTGCTGTTAGCTAAAGTACTAGGGAAGAAGGGATTTCCTTGAAAATTCTCAATAGCAGATTTGAAAATGGTTCCCCATATGGTTTTAAGTTGCTATTATTATAAGTTGACAGTAGAATACCATATATTGTGGTAACGTCTAAAAGACAAAAAATAAACCACTCTTCAACCAAGGTTAAAAACAGGCTCCCAGGGTATAAAAGATCAGGCTAAAATTCCTATTTAGACAATCAGTTAAATTAAATTTATTTTTTATCATCTATGCTTTGATATTAACAAAATGGAATAGCTGGGGACATACATTTTATCCCGACCCCCTTAAAATAAAAAACAAACACCTGACAAAGCTAGGGGTGTGTGTGTGTGTGATGTTTTTCTCATCATTTGCTCTCTAGGGCATCGTGTGTGGTGTCAGAGACCTTTCCAGCTGCTTAAAATTCTTCAGCATGTCAGCTATATTTACAGCACTGGAATATATTTGTATTGCCAGAAGGTTACTGCATTTTAGCTTTAGATGCAATAGGCTGAATCACTGTGTTTCAAAGTCTCTGATGTAGCACAAATGTATAATTAAAATTGCTTGAAAGGAAACATGAAAGAAACAACAAACCCTCCATTCTTAGAGTAATAAAATTAAAACCAGGAAAAGTCTGCACAGACACTTAACATTTGTCTGCAGTGAAAGGCTTTTGTTATTGCATTCCCCTAAGGGTTTCACGTTTCCAGCAAAAGCAGGCTTTGGATTGGCCAACTCCTGCTGCGAACATTACTATCTGATTGGCTGGGCTGAACACTGCAGCACAGCCACAAAAAGCAAGTGCTCAGATAAATGAGCTTCAAAGGGGAAAAATGATGCAACATCACAGAACAGAGCAGTGAGTAAGTGAGAGGGTGACTGACTGAGTGAGAGAGACTGTATATGCAGAAACTGTTTTATCGGGCAGGAATAATCCCAACAATGAGAGAGGCTTGCCTAATGCTTCTTGACTCTGTAAATCAAACACTGGTTTGTTTGCACTAACTAGGCTTGTCAATGTGACGAAAAGGTTACTGTCTGCTAAACTGCGTTGTGTTTATACACTGAGACTCATGTCATTGAACTGTTTAAGATAGCATTCAAACCTATTCAAAACTGTAAGAACTGAATTTGCTCACAGGAAAACAGGATTAAGAAAAGGATTATTTTAAAAAAAGAAGTAATTAATCATTAATCATCTGTGGCACTGTTTAAGGCAGGGTAAGATTTTATAAATACTGGCCTAAATAAAGCTGATACCTCCAAATAGTAAACCATTCCAATCTGTTATCATTTATAGAAGCTTTAGCTAAGTGGTCAGTAACACCAGAGCAATATTATATTGTGATTGATAAAAAAACAAATAAATGAGGTAGTTTCATCTTCAAGAAGGAGGAGGGGAGAGAGTAGTTATACCCTTTGAGGAATCTCATCCATCTACAAGGCTCCTCTGCATAGGAGCTTTATAATTGCAGACTGATATTCCTCTATAAAAATATCTATTTATAACCGTGTCTGTAAAAATTGAGCAAACATATCCAGAGTTGCTTTCATATAAATCCCTATGTGGATTGCTCTCATATAAGGAAGTGTACATTCAGACCATATATGCCACTAGAGCCAAATGAGAATGGCAAGTTTTGGCTTTCGGAAAATAAATGGTATAGCATTTTACTCAAGTGCTGAAATCATTTAACATTTTGTGATCCCTGGACCTACTCAAGTGAATGGGCAAAAACTTGAAGGAAGAAAGTGCCATATGATGAAAATTAATGATTTTCACTGGAAAGTTTGGTTTCTGCAAACTAGAAGCTCCAAACTAAATGTCAACTCTAAATTTCTGAACCATGGGGATACATTAAAATACTATTTCAGTGGTAATGTTAATGCTTTCATCTAATTTTGTTCTAATGACCATAACCCTCAGAGTGGAAATCATAGATCTTTCCCATCTTTAAAATTCTATTATGCTATCTAGCCCATCTCTCTCTGCTACTACAGAATTGTTCCCTAAAGTACATTTTCAGTATGTTGTCGACTTGTTCTAAATGTACAAAGCAACTGGGCTTCTACGTCTTCTCTTGGGAGATTATGCCAAAGCATTAGAACTCTCTCTGTATTTTCCTAATATTCTGTCTAAATTTAACCTTAGTTAAATTCATTTTGTTACTTCTTGGTAAAACCACATGTATCATCCTAAATGATTCTTCTCCCTCTTTGGTGTTTATAGACTTGTATACCATTATATTTCCCTGTACTTAATAATGTTAAATATATATAGTTTTTATATTGTGTATATATAGAGTATATGTATGTTACATGTAAAAGAAAAGAAAAGAAAAGAAAAAAGCACAGAGACAGGCATCAGAAGTAGGCACAAGCACAGAATAATTGAAATCAATAAGTAATTCAATAATTCTTAGAAGACATTCAAATGACCTTCCAGTATAAGAAAGTCAATGCTGTACATTTAAAATAATAATGTGTCAAGCAAATAGGAGTAAGTTTCCTTATAAATCAGTTCTACTAATATCCTACTCATTTTTGTTGGTCATTTCTAAGGCATCAATCCTTAACTTTAAGCATTTGTATAGTCTCACTTCAATGGGACTGCTCACATGCTTAAGTTAACGATGTGCTTACGTTTTTTTGCTGGAATTGGGTCTAAAGTTCCTTTTAATTTGACAATATCTTTTTGGTAACAACATGCCCAGAATGAAACAGAATGATCTAGGTCACCTCTGAGACACATCTGTAGAAAGGAAGCCTTCGCTCTCTACTCTTTAAGAAAGGTTATGGAAGAGGATGAATTCTCATTCCTTCATGTACAGAATACAGAATCTCTTTAGCCACAGGGAAGTCCTCTAAGAATGTGCAGTGAAGGAAGCACTTTTAATCAACTAAAATTATAACAGACATGGTTTGAGTGAACAGAAACAACATGGGATTTTAGGAATGCCTCATAAGGAGACATACAACTGGAAGGCCCACTGCAGCAGAGCTCTGGAAGATGAAAATGGATGTGATCAAAACACTGGATAGCTAGAAAAAAAAATGACTTGTTGAAAGATGTATTATAATTGGCTCCTTTAGTCCAAATCTTTATCCTGGCACACAACTCAAGTAACAGAGCTACATAACCGGGAATTCACTGGGGATTGAGGGGGAAGGGATCTTCTTGCCAGGTTTCAGAAGCATTACATGGCCAGTAACCTCTAATCTTGCTGCATCTGAATCCACATGGAGCATACCTGCAGATCCACTGGCCCTTCCCTGATCTCACCCACAAAACTCCCCCGTTTGCTGAGAGCTCATGTGCTTTAGTGTTTACAGACTCTTGTGTGGTTCTTCACATCCTGACAGATGCTGCTTCCTGTTCCGAAGAAACTCAATTGACAGAGATGAAAAAAATGTCTGTGTGCACATCTCATGAGTCATAGAACTACTACAAATTACACCACTCTGTGAATGCTTTCGCTAGGTATTATCAGAGAAATGGTTTGGCCTGTCTGGGAATTGTGGATGGAAAGCTAGTGAAGACAAACTCTTAGAGGTGTGTCACAGTATCTCACCTTAGGTGGGTGCCAAGGTATAGGAAACAGCTGTAAAAAATGGTTACCTACCTTTCCATAACTGTTGTTCTTCAAGATGTGTTGCACATGTCCATTTCACTTTAGGTATGTGCTTGCCTCGTGCACAGTTGTCAGAGATTTATCCCCCAG